ATTTTACAAAAAGCAAAATGATTTTTTGTACTAAATTATTTTAAAAAATAATATTTAACAAAAAATATTATAAATGTCTTATCGAAAGAGTTTTTTAAATTTTATCAAATACATATCATTTTAATTAATATTAATATTTGTTAGTAATGAATTGAAAAAACCCGTTGATCACATGTGTATTTTGAGTAATATAAAATATATACCATAAATTATATTACATATTATGTAAGGGCTATAACTGATTATTTTCGTTTCTCATGATAACCAATTTTTCTATATTTAAACAATAACTTAATTAATTTGATAATTATAAGTTTTTGTTTTTAAATTACTCTAATTTGTATTATCAAGAGATGTGCATTTCATTTAATCACAATATCTTTGGCTTTAAAATTTTATAATTTTTCTATACCAAAAATTTTAAATTTCTTTTTTTTTTCATAGAAGCAAAATATATTGAAAAAAAGAAAGGTTACAAAAAAGAGAGGCGACCAAACAAAAACCCTCTCAAAAGGAAAACCTATAAAAAGGTAATTCTAAATTACAATTTCAAAAATGCTATAAAATGAAACATTAATAAAAATTTGAATTTGATAAAATAATTTCCTAAAGTGCATTTAATGAATGCACAGAGCTTTTAGGAAATTTTAACTATAAATTAAGGTCTATTTTTAAACTTTTTCCCAGTGAGTCTTTTGTAAGAGCTGAAACTTCACAAAATTAATAAATTAATTTTAGTTTGAGAAACACACATTGAAAAAGAAATGGAAGGTTGTCTAATGAAATTTTGTGTCGTGATGATATTGATTGTTCTTCTTGTTGTAACACAAGTTGAATGCTTATCAGAGCCTTGGTGTGGAATAAAATGTGACGTCTTATGTCTCGGAAAGCGACTAGTCTCTGATTTTGATAAGTGTGTAAAAGACTGTAAAGCGACAAAATGCTAACAATTACATTGATATTATTATCAACACAAGCCGTGGCATCTTTTGACTATCTCATTATCTTTTATTTAGTCACATTTTTAACAAAATAAATTTATTTATTAATTTATTAATTTACTTTTAATGTGTAGGTTCATCGGCGTGTGGTACATGAATAAATTTCTTCAGGCATGGGGTGTTGCAACACTAATAAATGTATGATATGTATCCAATGAAAGACTCTACGTAATAAAATGTACTATTGAAATTGACATTGTTTCAAATTTAAATAAATATATTTAGCTTTATAAAATTAATTTTTTATTATAATCATTTTATTTGGATTTATTTTCCATTTTTTGTATTGTTTATGTGATTATTGACTCATATATTTTTTTGCTTACATATGATTATCGTTAAGTCTAGGCCAATTTTTGAATTTGATTTGGAAGAAAAACCAGACAAACTAATATTGTATTCACGATTTTTCTATTATATGGTATGGAATACTTACCAAGTCCTATGATTTTTAACATGAAACCTAATGTGCACAAACCATTATGTTGGACTCTGGTGGTAGAGTGGATATTCAATAAACTCTACCATGACGATATTAAAAACAATAAATAGTATATTTTAGATTGACTGTAAAACTCTTTTATTTAAACATACATTTAAAATCTTAAATGTGTACAGGTTATGTAATCCAAAGAAGTAAAATTTCCATTAAATTTTTTTTATTTCTAAAAGTTTCATTAACTACAACTAAAACAAGAAATGGTACATAAACTATCTACCAAGATTAACTTTTCAACCATGATAATATTTGATTTTTGTTTAAAAAAATAAATCAAAAGAAATAAAGTATAATATGAGAGGAAATTTGGAGAAAGAGAAGATAACAGAAATAGGATTATATTATTTCAAGTCTAATTTTAATTTCCCATTAATCATTACATCAATAAGAAATTCATCTCTGGTGTCATGTATATCACGGTATTGACCCTTACGTAGATTAACGATAGTCCTCAATTATAGTCCTGTTTCCACCTTTATGATGTTTTTCCTTCTCTTTATCATCTCTCTTTTTATTTTGAGAAACCTTTTCTCTCTACTAATGTCTTGTCATGTTGTCGCTCACCATCTATAAATCAAGTAGAACGCAAGCAATATGCCTTGTTGACTTTCTTCTTCATGAGCTCTATCTTCATCTCTTTTAGAGTATTTGTATTTTCACTCTAGATATTTTTATTTGTATTTTAAACTTAAAACTCTAGTAATAATTTTCAATTTTAAAACATTAAAAAAAAGTTACAATATTTAAACTAAGTTTTTTTTTATAAGAAACTGTTAAAAATTATTTTATTTAAGAAAATTTAAAATTTTTTTATTTTTAATTTTTTCCTAAAAATATGGAATGCTATGAAAACTCTATTTTAATAAAAAATTTAAATAACAAATCTTTAATATCTGCTATTTTTATAGTGTTAATAGTTTTAAACAATAGTTCTATATTTTAAGTATGAATTAAAAATATAGAGAGAGTTATACGATATGTTATTGTAAAATTGTTTTACCAATGTTTCTATTTGGAAGATATATGTTTATTTGTAATAAAAAAATTTTAAAAGATTATTTTTCAAGAATTACAAATATTTGTAAGGAAAAAACTAGTTTAGAAAAATACATCAACTTAAATATAGTTTAAGTAGATACTCACTAAAGTTTAATTTGAAATATTTTAATTTTTTAATGTCTTTTTTAAAATAATTTTATCAAATAAATAAAATTTAAATTACATTGATTAGAGTTTCATATAATGATTGTTGAGAAATATTTTACAAAAAGCAAAATGATTTTTTGTACTAAATTATTTAAAAAAATAATATTTAACAAAAAATATTATAAATGTCTTATCGAAAGAGTTTTTTAAATTTTATCAAATACATATCATTTTAATTAATATTAATATTTGTTAGTAATGAATTGAAAAAACCCGTTGATCACATGTGTATTTTGAGTAATATAAAATATATACCATAAATTATATTACATATTATGTAAGGGCTATAACTGATTATTTTCGTTTCTCATGATAACCAATTTTTCTATATTTAAACAATAACTTAATTAATTTGATAATTATAAGTTTTTGTTTTTAAATTACTCTAATTTGTATTATCAAGAGATGTGCATTTCATTTAATCACAATATCTTAGGCTTTAAAATTTTATAATTTTTCTATACCAAAAATTTTAAATTTCTATTTTTTTCATAGAAGCAAAATATATTGAAAAAAAGAAAGGTTACAAAAAAGAGAGGCGACCAAACAAAAACCCTCTCAAAAGGAAAACCTATAAAAAGGTAATTCTAAATTACAATTTCAAAAATGCTATAAAATGAAACATTAATAAAAATTTGAATTTGATAAAATAATTTCCTAAAGTGCATTTAATGAATGCACAGAGGTTTTAGGAAATTTTAACTATAAATTAAGGTATATTTTTAAACTTTTTTCCAGTGAGTCTTTTGTAAGAGCTGAAACTTCACAAAATTAATAAATTAATTTTAATTTGAGAAACACACATTGAAAAAGAAATGGAAGGTTGTCTAAGGAAATTTTTTGTCGTGATTGTGATACGGTGGGAGAACTGACTATGGTTTTGCGTTTATTTTCGCAAATGTTTCGGTTGAGCAAGAGTCGCCACCGACTTTTTATTTTATCCTACGGAAAGGTTAAAAAGCACAGCAAAAAACCTTTGAGATGTTTTTCTTGGGTTCGGGGAGTAGATTATAGAAAGGGAAGGTATTAGCACCCTTTCTATCCATGGTTATCCATGGGCTCTTAGTTACTTGCTTAGATCACTTGCCTTTTGTTTTCAATTGTTTGAAATGGTGCTTTGTGTGTGTGGGTTTGAAAATGTTTTTGAAAAGAAGCCAATGTGGTGGCAATCTTTGTAATGATCCATGTGGGGATGTATACAAAGATGTATGTCTTTTGAAAAGTTTTTCATTTGTTTTTGAAAGTTGTTTTGAAAGTGTTGTGAAATGTGGTCTTAGAAAATAGGCAAGTGTTTTGTTTTTGCAAGTTTGATTCAAATAACTAAGAGGTTATCTACTCCTAAATTTCTCAAAAGTTCATTGCTATGTTTTAAACCTTGTAATAAGTTTGTTCCACCATTGTATTTGGTGGACAATCTCATGTTAGGATGTGAAAGGGACGGGCGAGGGTCATCGTTTAGACCATAATTGCAATGGTGCCAAGTATCTTTGGGCATTTTCTTTAAGGGACTTGATCATTTGTTTTGGAAGTGTTTTGAAAAATGTTATCGAGGGACTATGATCATTTTGTTTTGCCCAAAGAGACTTAACATGCAATATGGCCCAATTTTGAAAGGCAACAAGTGGAATACCCTAGGGGGTGCAAGTGTGATTTGTGTGTTCATTTTCATGCTTGTTTGTCTTGAGATTAGGTCATAACTATTTTTGTCGTTTTCTCGCATACAAACCCTAATTCTAACATCACTACGCCAAAAATGATTTTTTGTATCACCTAATTTAATAGCACTTTTAAAAAAAATGCTATTAAAATGGAAAAAACACATTTATAATAGCACTTTTTAATCGGGCGCTATTATATAATACAGACTATGTAATTATGATAGCACTTTGTACCAGAACGCTATTATTAAACTTCTTTAAGATAGCATTTTGTATAAAACGCTATTATTTGACTACCTATATAATAGCATTTATTAAAAAGCGCTATGTTATATATAATAATGAATTAATTAATTAATTGATAAAAAAACACTCACCGCCAAAAACAAAAAACACTATGATTCTGAAGGTTCAATTTCGCGATGGGATTAAAATCCGTCGGTGAATACCTCAGAATCGTAGCGTAGTTTTTGCAAAAATTTGGGTTAGTTTCTTCACTATAAGTCCTTTTTTGTTTAATTTATGTTATGAGTTAGTAATGAAAGTGGAATTGGAATTGGAATTTGAACAGGGAATTTGTGAGTTGGAATTGAAAATTAGGGTCTGGTTGGGTCTGTTTCTTTTGCTGTTTGGGTGATGGATGAGGTTAGACATGGAGGTAGTAGTAGTTGTAGTAGTGAAGCGGAGCAGACTCAGTCCAGAGCTACGTTTGTTGAAACGGCGTCGTCTTCCTCTTCATCAGGATGGTGTCCCAGGGAGCTTGCTTTTGCTCCTTTTGTGCCGCAGCAACAAAAAGAAGATAAACGAGTTAATGCTGCTGGGAAATCCTCAAAGTATCGTGCACTTGTTAGGAAGCCTGTAAGTTTGTTTCTTTTTGTTGGTGATTTTTGTTATTTATTTTGTCATTGTTGTTATTGTATTAGTTTGTGGTTTGGAATTAGTTTGTGTTTTAGGAAATGTTCATGTGTGTTGTGAAGGAATTTTTGCTTTGACAGTATTTTGACTCAGAAGTGTTTTTTTTTTGTGTGGGTGAGTTGAGAGTTCTCTCGGCGGTAGGTAATCCGGTTTGAGGAGTTAGTCGGAGAGATTTCTTCAAACCAGTAATGTCAATGTTGGATGGCCAAAAAGTAAAAAAGTAAAAACTCCTATCTATGAATGTCTATCATTCCTAGGTTGATATTTATAAGATCCATCAAACGCTTCCTTGTATCCCCTTAGTCAATGTTTTTTTCAGTTAATGTCTTCAAGAAGCATTTGACTTGATTATCCATCCTCACGTCAGTTAATTATTCAGTTTCTCTTTTGTGATGTTCTGGTTTATCTGATTTTGTTGTCTTATCTGGTTGGATTGGATTAGAGGCTAATGGCCAATTTGAGGTTTAATGTTGCCGGGAGGTATCCAAATCATCATGTAAGGTACGGCTGGTCAAGTGATGTTTATTTAAAGTGGGGTAATACAACAAAATGACACGGGGAATGGAATCTCATATTGTTAGTTGTAAAAGTACCTGAGTCAGTAACCCATGACCCCTTAGATATTATAGTAGAACCATTCAAGCTTAGGGAATTGATGTTGTTATTAATTGTGGCTAGAAGGAGGCACATGAGTCTGACATTTTTGAATACGGGATGGCACATGTGATGATGGCTGATGGTATATCTCTAGTATTTGATTGAATTGGGGGTGATCACCTTGTGAGTTTGTTGGACATAGTTTTTGCAATGGCAGGTGTTGACAATGGCTGGTTTGGTGTTCAGAGATTATCCTGAACTCAATGAATGCATCAGTGGGAGTATCGAGTGCAGGTGTAATGAAGGCATTATGGTAGATAAGTCTTGCAGACCGGAAGCCTTTCTACCAACATGAAATCAGATGACTATTAATGAAAACAGTATTACAGTATTATTGATTGGTGATTTCGTGTATGAACCATTTCAATATATTATTGACCCAACTACTTCAGTAGCTGTCTAAAACAAAATCTCTTTCAATATGTGATAACTAACTATCCTAATAAAAGAGCATTTACATAAATTACATTGTTTACAATGTGGGCTAAGACTACGCCCCTTAAAAGCCTGTGTGAGGTGGTCGTGGATTTTTAAATGCATATTTTAAAACAAAACATGTTTAGACTCTGCAAAGGAATACATTTGCACTTGTTCTTTTTCAACCATTCATTCCTATATTGAATTGGCACTTTCTTCCCAGTCCTTTTTTACCTGTTTGAGCTCTGTTTTAGTTCCCAGGCTTTTCTTTAAAGCTCTGGCTCGCCTTGATTTGTGCGTTGATGTGGAGTTTGAGATGCATACACGTGGGCGGAGTCATTTGTAGGATTTGCTTTCTTTGTGTGTTGGTGTGCTGATGATGTGATTTACTTGAGAACTTTGTTGGCAACTAAAGCATGTTCTAACTGAAGATCAGTTAGAAGATATACTCACTAGAATAGTCTTTCTAGGAAGTAGGTAAATGCTAATATGTGCACGTGCGTGCACACATATAGATAGATATACAGAGAGAGATCATTGCTATCTCTAATTTTTATTTCTAATTAATGCGACTGTTTGGAGCTTAGAGTACTGAAAAATTTCAATTGGTGCTCAACTTCTAATTTGCAGTTGGTGGCAAGATTGACCAAGGAAATAGTTGAAACATATCAAATATGCAATCCACAGTTTAAATATTCCGAAGATCTAAATCCAAAGAGATTTTTGACCAGTCCATCTACTGGAGTGCTTAATGATGGCTATGATAATCTAAACTCAGATCTTATTCTGACAGTGAATTTGGTCTTGATCCATGTAGAGAAAAGTAGAAGGTTAGTCATACATGTTTTGTTTCTTCATTCCATGTAATAATTATATATGCTTAACGAATACCAACACTTGTTGATTTTATGGGGATACCAAAGGTGTCACATTAATCACTGGCAAAATCTCTACTTCATATAACTTACATTCTGTTATGGTGTAGATATACTGTCAAAGATCTCCTTGGCCACGGGACATTTGGACAAGTGGCCAAATGCTGGGATTCCGATACCAACAGTTTTGTTGCTGTGAAGATCATTAAAAATCAACCTGCGTATTATCAACAGGCGCTGGTTGAAGTAACTATTTTAACAACGGTAACCAGTTATTATTAATATTATTATCATTATTAAGATGTAACAATGAGAAGATTCTCAGGAAGAGTCACTTTTTTTCCTGTAGTTAAATAAGAAGTACGATCCTGAGGATAAGCATCACATTGTTCGTATATTTGATTATTTTGTATATCAACGGCATTTGTGCATATGCTTTGAATTGCTGGACACAAACCTGTAAGTTGTTATCTTCTTTTCTGTTTGATACTTGTCTGGCTTTCATCAATGGGAATGTATCAGAACTCGGATGATGTTCAATTTCAACTGAACTAAAAATCTTGGATGAATTATGCAATGATGCTGCCCTAGAATTTTTATCCCTCCCTCTTGCATATTTTGGTATTGACATGATATAGTATACAGGTATGAGCTTATCAAAATGAATCATTTTAGGGGATTGTCACTTGGTATTGTTCAGCTGTTCTCTAAGCAGGTATGCCAGTTCTGTGTGGCTAAGCTCTTTAGTCCTTTTTTGCTGGTTTTGATATCTTATCTCATCATAATCTATTTTCTTAAACTTATGTTTTAAGATTTTATGTGGACTGGCTCTATTAAAAGATGTTGGCATTATTCATTGTGATCTGAAGCCAGAAAACATCCTTTTATGTGCGAGGTTGGTTTCTTACATGAAGATGCTCATAAAGAACTATATGCTGCATCTATTTTTGTTAACTTTGCGTGTATGCTGCAGCTATTTCATTTTGAGATTTTATTTAGCCCTTGTTTTGTGCCCAGCAGTGCGAATCAAACATAAATAAAGATTATTGACTTTGGATCAGCATGCATGGAAAACCGCACTGTGTATTCCTATATTCAGGTATACATTCACTGTCAAAAGTAGAATTTTATGAAACTCCTGTTTTAGTTATAATTATTTGGTACTTACATTACATGTATTACCTGTTTCTTGTGCAGAGTCGATACTATAGGTCTCCTGAGGTTCTTCTTGGATATCAGTATCCTAACCCATGAAATTAGTAACTTATAGCCTGATTCCTTTCTTTGCAGGCTTTTTTATTTCTATTTTTCATTCCTTATATTTTCTTGCCTCATCATCTTCTTACATTACAAACTGCATGTAGTTGGCATAGTATTGTCAGTTACTCTTATGATAAACTTTGTGTTATAGCATGCGAAACCATAGTTTGGGTTTATGTTGATGATATCAGGCCAAAAAATGAATAATTTTGCCAAAACTTCATCTTATGACAATTAAAGCTGCTACATTTATTTCTTGCTTGCTATTTTACTACTATGACTTAGTTATGGAGCATCATTAAAGAACATTTTTTGTTCAACTGGAGCTACTGTCCATCACCCCGGACCATGTTTTCCTTCATTTTGTTCACAGGGGTGGGGAATGAATTTGTTGATTTGCCAAAATGAAGTCTTTCTTCAGTACTCTTTAATGTCCCAGTTTTACTAAAACTTTATGTTCCAGGTTTGTTATATTCACATTGCAACACAATATACATTATTCTTGTACTCTGTATGCTATAAAGAAATAATTGAAGCATACACAGAGATGTTATATTTATGTAGCAGCATGCTGTTGTCTAAATTGATGTCACACATAGCGTTCTTGTTATATATTCTTCGGAAGAAGTTATTAGCTAATTTTCAGGTTATTTACATGTTTTTTTTTTGCTTCATAGTTACATTGGCCCTTAACCCATCATTAGATACACAACAGCTATTGATATGTGGTCCTTTGGGTGCATAGTGGCGGAATTATTTCTTGGATTACCATTATTCCCCGGGGCTTCAGAATTTGATCTTTTGAAAAGGATGATTGAAATAATTGGGTATGCTACTATCTCTTGAGGAGAAACATATTTTATTCATGTGACTATCCATTTTATATACCAAAAGTATGATACCGCCTTGAAGATATTTTAGCCCTGTTTATCTTAACTCTAAATTATACTTTATATGTCAGCCAGATGAATAATGGTAAAATGAAACATAAATTCAAGTTTCATTTTTATTTAACAAAGTTTTTCTTGCAAAATGAGGGTTACCCTCACCGTCTTAGGTTTTGGGTTGGGAGGGACTAACTAAACCCCACAAAATCGAACTGTAAGGTGAGAGTTGCTTTCAGCTTATTATGTGGGGTTCACTACACCCTCTTCAATAGAGAACATCTGAGCTCTGAAGCGTGATCTAGGTGGCTCGATAACAGGTCACCTATAGAATCTAGGATAGACTTTGATTGTCCTCATCTTATGGGCCAAATAGTAGCGATCTAAAGAGAGCAGTTTGTTAAGCATTTATAGCTTCAACATCTACTTTGATGGGGAGAAGAGAACTCCATTTGTCAAAAACGATAAACGAAGTATAAATTTGAGACATGTTCTCTTTTAATCCTGATTAAAATAGTGCTTGGCAGAGGTCATATAGTTGAGTCAAATTATCTATTGTGAGGTTCTTTCCTTGTAATCTTAGTGTGAAGTGTTATCATCTACTTCCAACTCCATACTAGGTTAAACAATCGGCAGTCATCCATGTTGCCTTTTCTAGCCTGTTATTAAGAGGCCCCAAACTAGACCCTGGAAAACTCTGGGGGTTCCATGCAGCTGGTTCTCACTTCCTGGTCTCGAATTTAAATTTTGAAATAGGAAAATACGGAAAAATGACTTATATCTTATTGTATGATTGATTTATAGTTTTCCGTTTCTACTTGAAATTTTTAGATATTCGTAGTAACAATTGTAAGGTGTTTGATATCTAGTTCTGGATCATGAAAAGAAAGTTACACACAATTAAGTGTTTATGTATATTTTGAGAATTTGAATTATATTCTGTTTAGTGTTTATATGCATCTAATAATGGAAATTGTGGTCTATATATTTACAAGTCATGTTCTTGTTAGACTTAATTAGTTCAATTATTGCATTAGTTATATCGATTTATTGTTATTAGTTTATAATAATCATTCCTTATTTTATGCGCTTCTTGTTAGACCCATATTAAATGTTTGATTATTCTTTATATGTTGAATTAGTTTTTATTGTACAATACATAATCAATATTCCTTCTATGATACAGGAAAACAAGAAGCAATTATTTTGCCTAATTAGTGATTGTATCTATGAGTTCAACGCTTTTGGATCATGAAGGTGGTTACTACATGGGATTGTTTTGTTATCCTTTCTTATTTTTTTGGTGTTTTGTTTAGAGAATTTGATTGTATGTTTTTGGATTTGGATTGAAGTACTCATAGATGGGCATCTACAAATTTGGCTATGCAAACGCCCTCTTAATATTCTATATATGTTATGATATTTGGAAACAATAGGATTTGGTAATTTAAAATGTTATTTGGTATTTGATGGATCATAATATATATGCAATGAGTAACTTAAAGCGTTATTTGTGTTGAATTGAATATAGTTATTTTATATTTACACCAAAAAAAATGATTGTGTAAGAAAAAATATTGTACTGTACTTATTAAAAATATTGTACCAAATATGTACCATTTATTAGCACTTTATTTGAAAGCGCTATCAAACATATGTTATATATTAGCGCTTTTTGTTTAGAGTGCTATAAAAAAACAAACAAAAAACATGCAAAATACTGACTTTGATAGCACTTTAATTAAAACGCTATTATAAATTGGTACTTTAATAGCACTTTTAAAGTGCTATTAAATAAGAAATATTTACAATAGTGGCGCGGTTAATAGCACTTTTAAGCGCTATCAAAAACAAAAAAAAAAGCGCTATTAAATAGCTTATTTGGCGTAGTGCATGGCATAATTAGAAAGCGATAAAGTGCGAAAATAAATTTACTAAGCTATTACACAACCAAATATGGGAAGGGGGGTACAAATGTTCAAATGGGGATATTGACAAGTAATTTAAACCTAAAACTATTACATCAATTGAATTTGCAATTTAATCAATGTACAATAATTAAATAAAAATGGAATAAAAATATGCAAGATGCAAAAATGTTTTGTATATGTATAAAAAAAAGTATTATTTATGTAAGAATAAAAAAGAAAATAAAAAGATATTACTTTTGGAGTATTTTCAAATTTAGGGCAAAACCCTAATTTTCATTAAATGAAATGTATTATTATTGGTATATACAATATTTTGTCATTTTTACACAAAAATAAAATAAGAAAAGAAATGTATTTGTAAAAAAAATGATTTTTTAGTGTTTAATATTAATAAAATAAAATATGTATATTTTAGTATTTTATTCTAAGTATATTAATATATGTATATATCTATATTATTTACTAAATAAATATCATATATATATAACAAATAATAATAATTAATATTTATACAAAAATATGTTTTTTTGTATAAAATATTTTCAAAAGGAAAAATGTAATAAAAATCAGAAAAGAAAATATATTTGCATTATTTTTTAATTTTCTAAATATTAGTGTATATATATATATATATATATATATATATATATATATATATATATATATATATATATATATATATATATATATATATATATATATATATATATATATATATATATATATATATATATATATATATATATATATATATATATATATATATATATATATATGCATAAATGTCAACATAATCAAATAAATGCCTAAAAAATAGAAAAATGGTGAGAAAAAATATTTTTATATTTTTAATGTCATGAGAAAAAATAAACAAAGTCAAACAAAAAAGAAAAAGTCAAAAAAGTCAAAGAAATAAGCAAATGGGCTCAGGGGGTTCAGAAGCAATTATGGGGTGCAAATAAGAAAAAATTCCAGGCCCAGCCCAGAAGACCACTGTCTTCAACCTCCAGCAACAACATTTGAAAAAAAACGCGCGCCCTGTTCCTCATCTTCCAACTCTTGATTCCTGGCTTTTTAGCAAAAACTCATAACATAACAAATGTTCAGCATGAAGAGACGATTCTAACCATGTAAAGAACCTGACCTAACTCTCTAAGATGAGGGAGAATTTCTTCTCCCCCAATTTCTGACCTAACTTTTATGCCATATTCAGACTCAAAATTCTTGCAACACACATAACATAAATGAAATCTAACTATATGGGCATGTTCAGGGCTATGATTGTGACATATTTTCTTTACAAACCTAAAGCTAACAATGCCTAATAAGAGAGATAGAACTTCATGAATATACCTGTTCAGTTGGAATCGTGCTTTGCAATGGAGGATGTTTCAGAGTAAAATGATGATTTGTATAGCTTCCTTGAAGTGTAAGGATGCTTTTCCAAGTTCTACTTTGTCTTGAAACTCCCTGAATCGAGCTGTGGAACTTCAACTGCAAAATGAAAAAATGAAAATGGTGGAACTTGTTAGAGGGATTACAGGTCAGGTTTCAGGTCATGGTTAGCTTGCATAGATGCTAGGGGATGTGTATGAACTGGTTTTGGCAAGAATGCTTGAGAGAAATAGGAGTTGACACTCAAACTGCAGAGGCAACTCTGTTTTTGCAGTTTGAGAGTGATTCTGAGATGGAGGGTGTATTGGAGGTCAAAGGCTCGTGCAATAGCTTGGTTTTGATGTGTGGAATGTGTTTGATAACTTTGTCTAAGTATTTGTAAGCTGGTTTGTGAGTTGGTACAAGTTATGCTATGTTTCTTCTATGTGAAGCAAGGAAATGCAAGTTGGTGTTTTAGACTGATGAAGGCCCCCATAACAAGCTGCAAACCCTTGTCTTGATCAGTGCAATTAGCTCCTAAACTTGTGCCAATGAGATCCTAACTGTACTTGCTTGGATTTCAATTTGACATAAAGCTTGCTTTTACAAAAATGGATAAAGTACTTTATCTACTTTGAGATTAATCCACTATGCAATGCTAGAACACAAAGAACATGGTCTTGGCACAAAGAATAAGCATTAAATTATTGAGTGTCAAAGGGTTTTAGGACCTGTAATTTAGCATAAACCATGCTGACTTGAAAATGGCTTAAGTTATGAACATGTTCATGCTCAAATCAAAAGTGAGTTTTTGCCATATTGTGAAATTCGATTCTCTCAAGTTATGAGGTTGTTTGAGAAGTTCTTGGACATTTTGGAAAGCTTGGAATGTGTACTACAATCCATCTTTGAAATGCAAATTGAAATTCCAAGTGGAAGTGTATGGAAAATGTCCTTGAAGTGGGGTAGAAAACCTTGTCAAAATAGGTCAAAAATTCACTAAGTTAAGAATGGTTTAGTGCCCTTATTCAAAAATTTGTAACTTGAGATACAAGCTTCAAATGAGAAAACTTTGTGAATCAAAGTTGTAGATTATGCAACAAGCTACAACTTTCATGTTTTGACTTTCGTTTGAATCCAAATGGATCTTGGTGAAAAGGTGGGGCAAAGTTGGGAAAAAATTAGGGTTTTTCATAACTTAGAAAAATTCTAAGTTATGAAAAATTCTAATTTCTAACCCTAATTTGCATTTTGTGATTTCTTGGTGAACAAGTTTCATGATTTGGCATGTTTTTATGAAAAATGAATCTTGACTCTTGATTTTGACCAAAAAGTCAAAGTTTGACTTTTCAGTATACAGTCAAAATTGATCAATTGACTGGGAAATTCAACTGTCAATCTTGTGTACTTGGGATCTTTTGAGCTTGTTGAGCATGTCAAGATAATTCCATGGGGTCTTTGAGTCCATATGTGAGTTTGGTTTGCCATTGGCTAGGTCAAACAGTCAAAAATTTCCTTTGTGCAGTCAAAACCCTAAAAATGACCATTTTGCCCTTTTGGTGATCTGATCAAATTTCTTGTGGAATTGTGATCCAAAATTGATCAAATGGTCCATGTGAGTTCATAATGTTGATGTGGGTCAATTTTCATGAGATTT